TTAAGATCCGAAATAGTCGGTAGAATCCCAGGAAACCGGAAGGTCAACGTCGTTCATCTCTATGATAGTGACTAATCTTCCCGTTAACCACTCTACTTTACATCTTCGAGCTGTTCAAAACATTATTCAGATTGATTCCAGCTTTTACTAAAAAGTCAAAAATAAGGGAGTTCTTGTGATTACGACAAACTGTACTGCTTAGATAACATCCAAAAGCTTCTTTTCCGTATCTTTAATGACTGACCACACCTGTCCGGACATTCTGATCAGCTCACTTTGTAGAGAATTTCAGGGGCTATCCAATGGTATGTTTTCGAGCCGTATATAACTTTTCGTTATGGGAGAAAAACGACTAACGGAGTGTTCAAAGCACTAAGATAGGTGAGAATCATTATATCAGCCAAGTATTTCAATTATTGACCAACGGGGCATATTTTGAAAGACTTATTTATAGCTCATTTTGAAGCTCGTGAAATTCTCTATCGAATGACATATAAAGTGGAGTAATTCACGACCAAATCAATGGATATTATAAACATGAACGACGTTGACCCACAGATTTGCTAAGATGCTGCCGAGTATTTCGGAGTCTAGACTACCCCGTTACATTTTCCTAAGATCGCCTTATACATCATTTTGAAGCTAGTGAAATTCTCTATCGAATGATATATAAAGTGGAGTGGTTAACGGAAAGATTAGTCACTATTATAGAGATGAACGACGTTGACCTTCCGGTTTCGTGGGATTCTGCCGAGTATTTTGGATCTTAAAGTATCCGCTTACATATTTATAAGACAGTCTTATATATCATTTTGTAGCCCGTGAAATTCTCTCTCGAATGATGTGTCAAGTAGAGTGGTTAATGAGAACATTAGTCACCGTGAAAAACATAAGCAACGTTGACCTAACGGTTTCGTGCGATTTTACCGAGTATTTCGGATCTTAGACTATCCAGTTACGTTTTCTTAAGACTATCTTATATATCATTTTGAAGCCCGTGAAATTCTCTCTCGAATGATGTGTAAAGTAGAGTGATGAACGGGAAGATTTGTCACTACTATATAGATGAACGACGTTGACCTACCGGTTTCCTGGGATTCTACCGAGTATTTCAGGTGTTAGACTACCCAGTTGTATTTTCTTAAGATCACATTCTTATCGATAGGAGTTTGCTGATCAAGAACATGTTTTCTAAAACAGTAAGAATATTAGTTATATGCATGGTCAGTCATCTGATTCGTATCCGTGATGATCAAGTTGTCTGCTCGAATAAATCCTTGAGTTAGTGAAGTTTTTGTTTTAAATATAGTTTTTGTTCTTCGCCAGAATTGTTCTGTTTTGTTCGGTTCGAGAGTACCACAAAATTTTTGCGATGTTGCACGTTTGGTAGCTCTAAATTCGGATTTAATAAAATGATTAATTTGTTTTAATAGATCCTTTAGATCATCTGTTTTTAAATGACAATAACATTGAAAAATCTCTTTTCTATGCTTCAAAACACCGACGAAGTATTGAGGTAGAGATGGACGGTATTTGTTAGCCAAATGACACGATGTGCATCGCTCTTGTAAAGCCACGAGAAATTTTTCATATAACAGAAGTGCTGCATCCGGCGTATTTTCCATTAAGTTAAGTTGATCATGCCAATACGGTTGAAATTTTTGTAGTGAAACATTAAGTAATTGCCAATCAGTTTTTCTCATAAAGTAATTTTCATGTCGATTTAATGTAATAGATGTGATCGTCCAGAACACTGGATAGTGGTCATTGATTATAATCCGGTGATTAGGTTTAGCTTTCTCTAATGATATGTCCACTCGACTAATACATAGATCAATAATAGCATTAGAATATCTGGATGTTGGTCTGTTGTCATTAAATACTTTCATGTTGTCATGATCATAGAGCCGCTTTGCTAAGTGATCTCCCTTTTGATTTCGCTTTTCATCGTGCTATAGACAATGTCGTACCTTCAGATCACCAACAATAGTTAAATTTTTGTTGTATCTATAGAGTTGATCGATTAAGTCGGTTCTGAACCGTTCATTTGGCGGAGAGTAAAATGTAGCTATTGTATATTTTTTATTCTTGTTGAAGACATCGGTGACAATTAAATTTGCAATGTTAGTGAATTTTTCTACTATCTGATGTTTTGCATTTATATTTATCGCCAAAGCCACTCCACCGAATTTGTTTGTTCCAGCCTGAAAATAAATACTGTATTTTGTTTTATAATAGTTCGCTAAACGAAAATTTGTGTCGTCATTGCTCCTAATACCATTTAAAGCAAAAGCCACTGGAGAAACTTCATTGATATAGTGAATGATATCATAGAAATGTGTGAGAAGGCATGCAATATTGAATAAAAGAATATCGAAATGGATATTCGTTGATGTCTTTAAATGTTTATTACGGCTTTGCCACTTGTTCAATACTGATGTTAGTGTAGATGATGTCGACCACTCATTCAGGATATTTGCAAAGTTCCCCTGCTGATGATGCGAATTTAAATAACTGAATAGTTGTTCATTGTTGTTTGCAAGTCTGTTAATCTCATCTGAAGGATAAAATTCTTTAGCGTTTGGATTCATGGTGTTGTGTTAGATGTAGCTGCTCCATGCAGTTTTCTATTGTCGAGATTAAATGGCAGTGCTAAAAATGTAGGTCGTGGAAACATAGGAGTTGGATCGTGGTAGACCGGTAAATCCTGTGTCAAAAATGTTCTTCCATTTGTAGGTGATGGTACACTCGATAATGCATAGTTTGAAATCGTGTGCATGTTTCTATTTTCCTCATTTGATTGCGGGTGAACTCGTTTTTGTTGAATTTGATAAACATGTTCAAGTTGTGCCATCTAAGATAATGATTTTTGTTCCTCATTTACTTTAATGATGCCAGTTTGACCCAGTTTACTGCAGAGAGAAGAGATTAGACCAGTCAGCACATTCATCTGCGGAACAATGTTTTGTTCAAGTTGTTTTTTCATATTAAGCTGTTCATTGCTACCGATCACACATTTGAGCTCTAATTCATTCATTTTATTCAAAATTATTGCTTGAGAATCTTTTATTGCTTTTTGAATAATAGCAGCTAATGATGCTGTTGGGTCTGTCTGCTGTTGATTGAACTGTCGTGCTGAACTTGTTATTGGTGATTTCTTCATCAGGACTGTGTTATTTTGAACTGATGTTGTGGCCTCGATTATTGTTGAACACATTTTAGCTATTGATGGAAACCACGAATTGGAATTAGGTATAACTGCTTGGTTTTGTTGCTGTTGTAGACAATGTTTTCGATAAGACACTTTGTACTGACATTCAGGAGCCCCGGTCATACGTGCTTCCACACAATTTCCACATCTTATTTGATTCCTACAATTTTTACCGTACGCATGCTCTTGTCCACATTTAAAACATTTTGCACTGTGTTGACATGTGGCAGCTGAATGGCCGTAATCCTGACATTTGTAGCATCTCTTTAAATAAACAGGTGCACGTATGGAAAGGCAGAAAAACACACCGAGTCCACATAGATACGTCCATTGTTTAATATCATTTGTACCTCGGCCCCCGATCCGAAATCTACTCTAATTCTGTTTGTTCCTTGGTGATTTCCCGAAAAAATTCCTCTTACATCTATAACCGACGGATATCTCTCACAAATTAATTCAGCGACATCGTTGATTTCCCATTCTTTCGGAATATCTTTTATTATTATTGAGTGACATACTGGAACTTTTTTCGCTGGAATCAAAACATAACTCAGCCCACACAATTTTTGAGGCCATTTGTTTCTTTCGCATAGGTGCTCAAACGTTGATGAATTATTGGCAAATATTAACAGTTCATTGCCGTGCTCTTAAGAATGAGAATATCTTGCAAATGATACACTAAGAGATTGATTTGCCTTCACTATTTGATTTAGAATCCTCATTTCTGACGGGTTTTGTTCGTTTTCAAAAGCTAATTTTTGTCGGAGGAAACGGGAATCGACGTGATCTGTCCGTTGTCATTGTCCGTTATAAACATGTGCGACGTCGACCTACCGTCTTCCTGGGAAACTACCGACTATTTCGGATCTTAG